ATTCCTCGAGTCGGGCCTTGACCTTGTTATGAGAGATGTTACTATGTGAACTTTATGTGCGGTTTCTCGAAACCCCAAAATAAGATGGCCGACGTGGCATACGACAGGCTTGGAAGATGCACTCACTATTCCAAAAATCTACTACTTTACCAGTGTCTTGAAGGAGCTCTATTTGAGCCGGTAGGGAGAAAAAATGTGACGGGTAAACAAAAACGGCTCAAGTCCTAGTAAAAAGAAGGACACACTTACCGGGGTGCAGTTCCTTTAGTGCTTCGTGAATGACGCTCCTGGTCTTGTGGTGCGTTGGAAGGGGGGCGGTGCGTGACCATAACTCGCACTATGCGAGGTGGTTACTTCTCGATTGTTCTGTGGCACGACTTCCACAGAGGTGCGGACACAACTAGCGAAGTCTTCGAACTACGATGCAAGGGCTGTGCGACGGCAGTGTGCGTCTATATATGGGCAGGCCACTTCTACCACTTCCATCTCGGCGGAGCATGCTTCTTATTGGCTGAAAAGTTGGCACCACATTCTAGACCCCCTCCCTCTTCAGTGCATGCGGGAGCAATGCATGGATATAGGATGGAAAGACACTGGCAAACAATAACCAACCGAACAAAATGTGAGAGTACCCGTTTCCTTTTATTCGCGCAACCAATACGTTTCTATATTATTATAAACACGATAAAACTTAAGAAAAATGTATGAACGCGCTCTCGTAAAGCTTTCTTACAAAAATAAATATATATTTTTGTTAGATAGTTTCTTAGGTTTAGTTAGGTGTTGTGCACTTGCTTGGGAATATTTTTGACAAAAACGCTTTGCAACACAACATGCCGAGCAGAGCTAGTACTGTAATATAAGAAACCATCATCATCATCATTACAGTCCTTCACAAGTCCACTGCTGATCATAGGCCTCCCCCAAGGTATGCCACAAAGCATGGTCCTGAGCCATCTGCATCCATCCACTTCCTGCATATCTTGCCAGGTCGTCACTCCATCATGAAGATATGTCGTAATTTCCCGAACTTTATATAGCATAGTAATTGTAAAATGGAAAGGACAGCAGAACCACCAGTAACTGAAGTATGTTTTTTGTCCTTCTCCCTCCGGACCGCGCCTAGTTTGGACGTCTTTTTAATTTTTCCACGATACTTTAATTTTTAATTTTAAAATAGTATTAATTTAATTCGATACTAAAAATAGAAGTGCATAAACTGCCAGGAGCTAAGCTGCAAGTAATCAGGTGACATACTACTGCGCCTTCGCATTATCTGTTGTAGTGGTTGTGAGTGAATAACTGTGTGTGCTATCGTTCTAAGAGTAAACGAGACGTCTATTCGACACGACACCTCTCTCTGTCATCTACTGCGCGTAAGTCACACTACTGTGCTATTAATTATACATTATACGAGTTACGCACACAATTCCGTTTGTTTATGTGCATTCAAGGGTCTATGATAGTTGGACGGAAAGAGTTTTTGTAAGAAATCGTCGATCACCGACAATTTTAGCTGACCCCTGCAGCGAGACTGCTTCTGTAAACTCCAGTAAACTTTTGGGAGCCTGGTACTTTGAGTTTGATTTGAAACTAAGCATGCCACTCAAGCGAACACCGCCTCCCGCCTCACCGCCAGCGGTAAAAAACAAGAATAAGAATGTGAGCTGTACACCTATAAATATTTGCCCCAGCCTATCTACTGAAAAACCTTCTTCAGAGCGTGATAATATCACCCTAAGGAAAAAACATGTTATTGATTCTTCTAGTATGGAACTATTTAGGGAAGAAATCAGGGAAATTAGAGAAATTATAGTTAATTCTAACATTTTAAAACATCAGAGTAAATTGACTTCTGTACAATCCTCTGTGAATGAAATACTATCCCAATATAAAGATATTAAAGAATCAATCGAGATGATATCTAAGCAATACGATGATATGAAAATCAAATTTGATTCCCTCGAAAAGCAAAGAAAGGAAGATCGACTCTACATCGTTGAACTTGAAGGAAGAATATGCTCTCTGGAGTCAACTATTGTGGCATCAAAGCTTGAGCTTAGAAACATCCCTATGGGACCCAGTGAATCCAAAGAAAGTCTGTGTGACATTGTTTTAAAAACTGCTAAGGCCCTAGAAGTACCTCTTCAACAGCCAGAAATAAATGACGTGTTCCGCATTAAAAACAAAACTGGTAACGGAAATATTATCGTCGACCTTACAACTACCATAAAAAAAGAAAATTTCTTGAAAAAAAGCGCGCAAATTTAATACAAAAAACAGCGCAAATAAATTAAACACAACCCATCTCGCACTGGATGGGCCACAGAAGCCGATATTTATTTCTGAACATTTAACGCAGAAAGCTAGGCGCCTTAACTACTTAGCAAGAAATTTTGCAGAGGAAAACGGATATAAGTTCTGCTGGACTTCATACGGACGTACATATCTACGTCAAGATGAGGGCAAACCACATATCAGAGTGGACTCTGAGTCAGATTTAGCTAAGCTGCGAGGCCAAAAATGACTGTATGAGATCTCCGGTAGAATTTTGGTTACTACTTACATTGATTTTGTTTATTATCAAATATTTATTTATTATTTCTTTAATTATTTATATAACATGGTATATATTTTACTAAACGGTACGACATACATTCACATTACTATTGTAATCGTACTGTATATTTTTACAATACATGGTTTTTCTCGAACAATTTGTGAGATGGCTCTCAATAGCTATTATTTAAATCGGAACTATAGATGTGACAATGAATATTTCCTCTTTAAAAATGCCTGAATTACATAATCAAATTTTATCAGATATGGATAATATTAGAGTGGCTTCATCTTTTGTGTGTGATGTTTTAAAATGCAATGATATTGTCAGGAAATCCTGTAATTCTTTAAATATCATTGCACAAAATATACGTAGCGTCTATAAAAACCTGGATGGCTTTATGGCATATATATCACAACTTTCATTTGAACCGGATATAATAATACTAACAGAATGTCGCCTTGATGTTAATAAGCCTGTTCCTCCGCTTCCAGGTTACAAATGTCATTTCTCAAAAAAATGTTCAATCCAAAATGATGGTATAACAGTTTATTCTAAACACTCAATTGATTGTATAATAACAGAACCTGATTCAAATGGTGGTAACTATCTTTTAATTAAAATAAATCCAGATATAGTAATATTAGCGGTATATAGATCACCCTCCTATTATTATATTGACAACTTTTTAGATTCTGTAGAAAAAATTATTCGTCCCTTAAAATCTAGTAACATATTTATTATGGATGATATCAATATAAATATTATTCAAGGCAACAAAGACAAAGACAGTGAACCTTATTTAAATTTAACTGCAGGATTAGGTCTTTTACCGGGTCATACCTATCCCACCCGTATCAATAATTGTTTAGACCATGTTATGGTGAAAACAGTATTAAATACGCAAATAATGGTACTCGATAGTGTAATCACTGATCAATCCTTAATCTTAACAAATGTTTCTTTGAACCCCAAACGCAAGCCTAATAATATTTTTATTGATAAAATAAATTATGATGATGCCATCAAATCTATAGAGTCTGCTGATTTTTCTTTTATATCTTCAACTTTAAAAGTGGATTTGTTGATTTAATAACCTCTGCTATAAAGAATAATACTGTTAAAATTAAGATTCCTAGAGTGAAACGAACGCTTAAGGCCTGGATGACACCTGGACTGATAAGGTGTATCCGTCACTGCGATAAACTTCACCAAAAACTGAAAAAGAACCCTGACAATGAAATACTTCAAATTTCTTATAAGCGTTATATCAATTACTGCAATTCCTTGTTAAGTAAGCTCAAGCGCCAATATGAAAAAGTCTTTTGGCAAATGCAAAGAACAGTAAAGAAACTTGGTCTGCAATCAAAGCCATCTCCGGATGTGATACTAAAAATAACTACGCTGAAAATTTGATCATTAAAAATCCTATAGATTCAGTGGAGAGAGCTAATTACTATTTTTCAACTTTGGGTAGAAAATTAGCTGATAAAATTCTAGCAAACGGAGCTAAACCTGCTAATGTTAATACTACACCCTGGTCGCTTAATTCATTTGTGCTCGATTCTCCTGACGAGTTAGAAGTAGAAACAATATTGATGGGTCTTAGAAATGATTGTGCTATTGGTTGGGATTCCATTCCTGCTTGCTTCCTTAAAATGACCAAGGATAAAATACTTCTGCCACTCACAACCCTTTTTAAAATCTGTTTTGAACAAGGATGCTTTCCAAAAGTTTTTAAAAGATCTCTCATTACTCCTGTTTACAAGAATGGGGCTCGGGACGTTGTTGAAAATTACCGGCCGATCTCTGTGCTACCTGCACTTTCAAAAATCTTAGAAAGGATGCTTAATAATCGTTTGGTTAAATTTCTAAAAAATATAATACTTATCTAATATGCAGTTCGGATTCAGAGCGGGTGTTAGTACAGAAGATGCTGTTCGTAACTTGACCGAATTTGTAACAAATAAACTGGACCATAAACAGAAGTGTGTAGGGATTTTCTTAGATTTAGCCAAAGCTTTCGACACCGTTTCGATACCCATTCTTGTAAACAAACTAGAAAAAATTGGAATAAGAGATTCTGCCCTTTCCATTTTTAAGGATTTTTTATATGACCGTGTGCAGAGAGTAAAAATAAAAAAAATTATTAGCTCAGACACCTGTGTCACATTTGGAGTCCCTCAGGGCAGTATCCTGGGACCAAGTCTCTTCTTAATTTACATCAACGACCTGTGCTCAATGACACTAACTCAAGGCAAGCTATTTACTTATGCTGATGATACAGCCTTAATTTTCTACGGAGAGACTTGGCCTGAGGTCCAGGAGTTTGCGATGAGGGGTCTTCAATCTGTGGCAAATTGGCTTGAGGAGAATCTACTGCCTCTTAATATATCAAAGTCCACCTATATGCAGTTCCATATTACCAACACCCAAACTGTTAACGATATACAACTAACAGTACACTCTTGTGGTTTACAGTCAACAGATACTTGCCTTTGCCCTAAAATGACGAAATCCAAATCAATTAAATATCTCGGAGTAATTATAGATGAGAAACTAAGCTGGCTCCCACACATGACCTTATTTCATCGCGCACTAGGATTCTTATTTGGACATTTAAAAGGCTAAGGCATATCGCTGACTTTGATTTATTGAGAACTGTATACTACGCCTTAGCACAATCAATTATAGGTTATTGTATAGTTGCCTGGGGTGGAGCATGCAAAACATTTATGATAAAATTAGAAAGAGCTCAAAGATGTCTCCTAAAAACTATGACTTTTAAACCGTTCAGGTATCCTACAAATCTGCTTTACCAAGAATGCAAACTGTTGACTGTTAGGCAATTGTATATCCAACAACTGATCTTAATGAAACATGCTCTAACTCCTTATAACCCCGAGATCTGTCGTAATAAACGCAGAATACCGGATGTAATGATTATTGGCAGATGTCAAACTGCTTTTTCTAGGCGACAAAGTTCATATCGATCCTCAGTGCTTTATAATAAATTAAATAGAAATCTAAATTTTTATCCTCTTTCCAGACATGAATGTAAAGTTAAAGTTCGAGAATGGTTATTGTCACTTGATTATAGTAAAACAGAAAATATAATTTGTTAACATGTAGCAATGTATGTCGTATAATAAAAGTATAATAAAATTATAAAATTTTAAAATTATGAAATTAAAAATAGCAATCTTTGTTTAAAGCATCTATTTATTCATTATAGGTTATAATGAATAAAATATATATTCTGTATGAAATTATATAATAATATATTCTATATATTCTATGTATATATATATATATATATATATATATATATATTGTATGTATATGTATATACGTGTGTGTATGTATATGTATATATATTGCAAATTGCAAACTAATTTTAATATACCTACGATTATATGAAATATAATAACGACTAAAGAGTCGCATTAAGTTAAAGTATATGTTTCGTTGTAAATAAATACATTCAATTAGCTAAACAATTACTTAAAAATGTAAAGCTTAGTTACTTAATTAATTGTTAAGACTAAAATACTGTTGTCACAACACTGGGAGAGGCCACTGATTCCTAAGATACAGACTTGTCTAGTTTGGGAATCAGAGTCTTCACTCTATTATTGTACTTTTATTTGAATAAATGATTATTATTATTATTGTGGGGTATCTATATAGTTTTCTCATCTGGTTGGGTTCTATAAATATATAATTATAAATGAAAATGAAAAGATAAATATACATATATATCAATAACATAAAATAAATATAAAAGTACATAAATAAATAAAAGCCCAACCAGATGGAGGCCCTCGGCAGGGGAGACCAAACGGCCGAGGGTTAGGGGGAAAGGGAAAGAAACCGGCGGACGATGCGGGCGGTATCGAGGAGCACCGCCTTCTGCATTTGAGCCCGGAGCGGTCCGCCACGTAGTCCCAGCCGCCTCAGATGACCCGAGAGGCTGACTGGGATTAGCCCGTTTGCAGAGACGACTACAGGAATAATTTCGGTCGGCAGACCACCCCACATGTCGGTCACCTCGTGAGCCAGGTCCAGATATTTTGTTTGCTTGTCTGTTTCGGCTTTCACGAGGTTCTCGTCATACGGAATGGTAATGTCGACCAAAAATATCCTTGACTGTGCCCGGTCCATCAGCACAATATCAGGCTTATTCGCAAGAATAGTCCTGTCTGTGATGATGGCCCGGTCCCAATAGAGCCTGGCGCGGTCATTTTCGAGCACGGCTTCCGGCAAGTACTTGTAATACGGCAATTTCCGGTCCACGAGACCGTATTTCAGAGCGAGCTCCTGGTGTAGAATTCTGGCTACTAGGTTGTGCCTGTGCAAGTACTCAGAGTTAGAAAGCGCCGAACAACCGGAGATGACATGCCTAAGTGACTCACCGGGATGGCGACAAGCTCGACAGATGTCGACGGTGCCATCCTTTAGGATGTATCTCCGATAGTTGTTGGTCTTAATAACCTGATCCTGTATTGCACAGACAAAACCCTCGGTTTCCCCGAAGAGGTCACCGAAACGTAGCCAGTTGAGGGAGGCGACTGTGTCTACGAAGGGCTCATGTAGAGCCTTGTAGTACCTCCCGTGGAGCTCCTTCTCCTTCCATACGGTCTCTCGGTCGGAAATGCTCAGCACTGCTGGGTCCTGCCATTGCTCGTTGGCTAAGGATAGAGGCGTAAGCCCTTTATCACAAGAAATGACGTCCTTATAGAATGGATCATCCGATCTCGCCAGGAAGTAATCACGGAGGCTGCACACTTCGCGATTATGCATGGTGAGCGCGCTCAAGAAGCCACGCCCACCATGCTTTCGCGACAAGTACAGCCTCATTACCGACGATCTCGGATGATGCATCCTATGGGACGTCATGGTAGTGCGGACTTTTCTATCCAGGGCGTTAAGTTCAGTCTGAGTCCACCTGAGTATGCCAAAGGTATACATGAGGACAGGCATGACCCAGCCGTTATATGCGTGTGTCTTATTCACACCGGACAAAAGGCTGTTAAGCACTTTGGTCAAGCGTGCATAAAATACGTCGCAAACTGACTGTTTCATACCAGCCTCATCGATACCGATGTTCTGTGACATACCCAGGTATCGGTATGTTTCAGCCTCGGAAAGGGTCCTTAAGTTGACGGGCATAGATAAGTCTATGCCCTCAGAGTTAGCAACCCTTCCCCTTTCAACATGGAGGACCGCACACTTATCCGTCCCCAGCTCCATTCCAATGGAATTGCTAAATTCACAAGTGATGTTTAGCAGTTCCATAAGATGGGAGCGACTGGAGGCGAATAACTTGAGGTCATCCATATAGAAAAGGTGGGTCACTTTTGTCCCTCCTTTCCGTAGCTGAAATCCCCTCCCGGAGCCCTCCAGTAAGGTACTGAGAGGGTTAAGAGAGAGGCAGAACCAGATTGGACTCAGACAATCGCCCTGGAAGATACCCCTTCTTATCCTTATGTGGTTCTCCGCAGCCCTCAGTCATCCGCTCGCCCAGATAACAGAGGATCGTACTCCACTGCCCCATACACTGATCGAGGAAGTCTCTAACTGTACAGTCAATCTTGTACAGCTCGAGGACCCTCTTTAGCCATGTATGGGGCACCGAGTCGAACGCTTTTCTGTAGTCTATCCAGGCGGCGGAGAAGTTCCGACGGTTGCGTTTCACCACTTTGCCTATGACCGCGTCAATGAGGAGTGGTTCCTTAGTTCCACGACCACCGCCCCGACATCCATTTTGAGCGCGTGACATCACCTGGTTTAGCTCCAGGTGACGAGTGATTCTCGCGCTCAAAATGGATGTCAGTGTCTTATATATGGTGGGTAGACACGTGATGGGGCGGTATTTGCTCGGGTCTGTGGTATCTTGATCTTTAGGAACCAAGTGAGTGATCCCAGTAGTGAAGAGGCTCGGGAGTGACTTCTGGTCGAGAGCCTCTTGAAACTGTCGGGCGAGCACAGCGTGACACACTACGAACCCCTTCAGCCAGTAATGATGCAGCCCGTCGAGCCCCGGACTTTTCCAGTTCGGGGCCCTACGGACCGCCTCAGCCACGTCTTCTGGCGTTATGGTGACGGGGTCCATGGGCGTAACACTCGCACCCTGGCTCGCCACAACTTCCATCCAAGGGCCCTCGTTGTGGTTTACGGGCTCTGACCACAGGCCACGCCAGAATGCGATAGTGTCAGCCTGATCCGGTCCTTGGCCCGCTACACATACCTTTGGTCGCTCCAATAATTTATAGAGCCTCTTCTGATCACTCTGGAAGAGACGATTCTGGTTGAACCGCCTTGACCCCTCGGAAAATCGTCGAATCCGCTTCCCCCAAGCAGCGATCTTTTGCTTCAGGTCATCTATGCGCTCCGTTAGTTTCTGCGTGATATCCGGCTGGGACAAACTGATATTTGTCCCAGCAAACGCCATCCTAACGGTGCGCATAATCCTCGGTCTATTATTACCCGACCTGAAGCTTGTCAGTCTGCCGATAAGGGCCCTTGCCTTTGCGATACGGTCCTCGATTCTTTTCCTCCAGGCTGGGATGGCGTTACTTTGTGTAGTAGCGCGTCCAGCCATGAGAAGTTTGGCGCCAATAATACGGCAAACTGCCAGTGCGGCGCCAAAAAGAATCGAGTCCGTCTCGCAAAGGTCCCGGCTGGCTTCCAAATATGTCACCAGCATTGGGTTAAGAGCCCTCACGACAGCCCGATTTCGCTTGCTTAAGGGTATGCGGGGAAGTCGCGGTCGATTTTCGAGAGGGGTGCTGCGCGTTTCCAGAATCGCCTCTTCCAATATACTCCTCATTTGCTCTAGTTCGTGGGGGACTATTTCATCGTCTGATCAACCACAACTGGAAGATCCATGGCGGCTTCCACGTGTGGATGCTGGTCTGTCAAATGTGGAGCTGCATCTCCAGCCGTAGCCGATTTCATTCGACGACGGAATAGCCTTACGTCGTAGTCGTTCGAGTTCGGCGTCATCAAATATTTTCGAGCGCATGATGTACCGAACTCGGTCTGCCAGGTTTTGTTCCGTGACGGGGATAGACGGCTCCAGCTCAGCAAAAAAGCAATGCATCCGAGACCTATACGCTATTCCCACATCCGTTTCTTCCCCTTTCGCCCTATAGTACGCCCGCAATGCGTTTTCGTTCATGGATTTTGTCCAACGCATGCGACGTGCTCCACCAGCGGCGGGTGCCGCTTGCTGGGTCCGAGAAGACCCAGCCGACACCAAGCCTTCTGGTGGGGATGATGGATGCGAGGGGCTGCTAGGCGAGCGTGCAGCTCCTCGCGCTCGGCTGGCGGCCCGCATGCTGCCGCGTCCAGCGCCAGCTCCAGACGCGCCCCGGCGACCCCCAGGCAGCGGCCCTATGCGCGTTCCTTTTTGTGTTTCTTCCATCATCCATTTTATGGGCGCCAAATAACGGGAGACGCCCAAGCCCGGCACCGTTTCGTGGTTGGGTCATATGCACAAACGGACCTTTGCATCTACAATTTTGCCTAGGCACGGCGCTCACACCTCTTGGCAGGATGCTGACTGACTGCGCCGACGTCGCAGTTTTGTCACATAACTGTTACGTCTACTGTTATTATTATTATGTGTGGGGTATCTATATAGTTTTCTCATCTGGTTGGGATGTATAAATATATAATTATAAACGAAAATGAAAAGATAAACATACAAAAATATCAATAAAATAAAATAAATATGAAAAATACATAAATAAATAAAAGCCCAACCAGATGGAAGCCCTCGGCAGGGGAGACCAAACGGCCGAGGGTTAGGGGGAAAGGGAAAGAAACCGGCGGACGATGCGGGCGGTATCGAGGAGCACCGCCTTCTGCATTTGAGCCTGGAGCGGTCCGCCACGTAGTCCCAGCCGCCTCAGATGACCCGAGAGGCTGACTGGGATTAGCCCGTTTGCAGAGACGACTACAGGAATAATTTCGGTCGGCAGACCACCCCACATGTCGGTCACCTCGTGAGCCAGGTCCAGATATTTTGTTTGCTTATCTGTTTCGGCTTTCACGAGGTTCTCGTCACACGGAGTGGTAATGTCGACCAAAAATATCCTTGACTGTGCCCGGTCCATCAGCACAATATCAGGCTTATTCGCAAGAATAGTCCTGTCTGTGATGATGGCCCGGTCCCAATAGAGCCTGGCGCGATCATTTTCGAGCACGGCTTCCGGCAAGTACTTGTAATACGGCAACTTCCGATCCACGAAACCGTATTTCAGAGCGAGCTCCTGGTGTAGAATTCTGGCTACTAGGTTGTGCCTGTGCAAGTACTCAGAGTTAGAAAGCGCCGAACAACCGGAGATGACATGCCTAAGTGACTCACCGGGATGGCGACAAGCTCGACAGATGTCGATGGTGCCATCCTTTAGGATGTATCTCCGATAGTTGTTGGTCTTAATAACCTGATCCTGTATTGCACAGACAAAACCCTCGGTTTCCCCCGAAGAGGTCACCAAAGCGTAGCCAGTGGAGAGAGGTTACTGTGTCCACGAAAGGCCCATGTACAGACTTGTAGAACCTCCCGTGGAGCTCCTTCTCCTTCCATACGGTCTCCCGGTCGGAAATTGTCTGCACTGCCGGGTCTTGCCATTGCTCGTTGGCTAAGGATAGAGGGGTAAGTCCTTTATCACAAGAAATGACGTCCTTATAGAATGGATCATCCGATCTCGCCAGGAAGTAATTACGGAGGCTGCACACTTCGCGATTATGCATGGTGAGCGCGCTCAAGAAGCCACGCCCACCATGCTTTCGCGGCAAGTACAGCCTCATTACCGACGATCTCGGATGATGCATCCTGTGGGACGTCATGGTAGTGCGGACTTTTCTATCCAGGGCGTTAAGTTCAGTCTGAGTCCACCCGAGTATGCCAAAGGTATACATGAGGACAGGTATGACCCAGCCGTTATATGCTTGTGTCTTATTCACACCGGACAAAAGGCTGTTAAGCACTTTGGTCAAGCGTGCATAAAACATGTCGCAAACTGACTGTTTCATACCAGCCTCATCGATACCGATGTTCTGTGACATACCCAGGTATCGGTATGTTTCAGCCTCGGAAAGGGTCCTTAAGTTGACGGGCATAGATAAGTCTATGCCCTCAGAGTTAGCAACCCTACCCCTCTCAACATGGAGGACCGCACACTTATCCGTCCCCAGCTCCATTCCAATGGAATTGCTAAATTCACAAGTGATGTTTAGCAGTTCCATAAGATGGGAGCGACTGGAGGCGAATAACTTGAGGTCATCCATATAGAAAAGGTGGGTCACTTTTGTCCCTCCTTTCCGTAGCTGAAATCCCCTCCCGGAGCCCTCCAGTAAGGTACTGAGAGGGTTCAGAGAGAGGCAGAACCATATTGGACTCAGACAATCGCCCTGGAAGATACCCCTTCTTATCCTTATGTGGTTCTCCGCAGTCATCGTCCGCTCGCCCAGATGACAAAGGATCGTACTCCACTGCCCCATACACTGCTCGAGGAAGTCTCTAACTGTACAGTCTATCTTGTACAGTTCGAGGACTCTCTTTAGCCATGTATGGGGCACCGAGTCGAATGCCTTTCTGTAGTCTATCCAGGCGGCGGAGAAGTTCCGACGGTTGCGTTTCACCACTTTGCCAATGACCGCGTCAATGAGGAGTGGTTCCTTGGTTCCACGACCGCCGCCCCCGACATCCATTTTGAGCGCGCGACATCACCTGATTTGAGTCCAGGTGACGAGTGATTCTCGCGCTCAAAATGGATGTTAGTGTCTTATATATGGTCGGTAGACATGTGATGGGGCGGTATTTGCTCGGGTCTGTGGTACTCTGGCCTTTAGGAACCAAATGGGTGATCCCAGTAGTGAAGAGGCTCGGGAGCGACTTCTGGTTGAGAACCTCTTGAAACTGTCGGGCGAGCACAGTGTGACACACCACGAACCCCTTCAGCCAGTAGTGATGCAGCCCGTCGAGTCCCGGACTTTTCCAGTTCGGGGCCCTACGGACCGCCTCAGCTACGTCATCCGGCGTTATGGTGACGGGGTCCATGGGCGTAATACCCGCACACTGACTCGCCACAACTTCCGTCCAAGGGCCCTCGTTGTGGTTTACGGGCTCTGACCACAGGCTGCGCCAGAATGCGACCGTGTCGGCCTGATTCGGTACTGGGCCCGTTCCACTTACCATTGGTCGCTCCAATGATTTATAGAGCCTCTTCTGATCACTCTGGAAGAGACGATTCTGGTTGAACCGTGTCGACCTCTCGGTATATCGCCGAATTCGCTTTCCCCAAGCAGCGATTCTCTGCTTCAGGTCGTCTATGCGCTCCGTCAGTTTTTGCATTATATCCGGCTGGGACAAACTAACATTTGTCCCAGCAAACGCCATCCTGACGGTGCGCACAATCCTTGGCCTGGTATTGCCTGACCTGAAGCATATCAGTCTGCCGATGAGGGCCCTAGTCTTTGCGATACGTTCTTCAATTCTTGTTCTCCAGGCTGGGATAGCACTACTTTGTCCAGTAGTGCGTCCAGCCGTGGAAAGTTTGGCGCCTATAATACGGCAGACTGCCAGTGCGGCGCCAAAGAGAATTGAGTCCGTCTCGCAAAGGTCCCGGCTGGCTTCCAAATAGGTCACCAGCATTGGGTTCAGAGCCCTCACGACAGCCCGATTCCGCTTGCTTAGGGCTATGCGGGGAAGTCGCGGTCGATTTTCGAGAGGCGTACTGCGCGTTTCCATAATCGCCTCTTCCAATGTACTCCTCATTTGCTCTATTTCTAGTTCCTGGGTGAATGTTCCATCATCATTTGAATCAGCAACCACTGGGGTATTCTCGGCGGCATCCACGTGTGCGGGTTGTTCTGCAACTTGTGGCACCGCACCCTCAGCCGTAGCGTTTTCATTTGATGAGGGAACAGCCTCACGTCGTAGCCGTTCGAGTTCGGCGCCATCAAATATATTTGAGCGTAAGATATACCGAACTCGGTCTGCCAGGTTTTGCTCGGTGACAGTAATAGATGGCTCCAGCTCAGTAAAAAGACGATGCATCCTAGCCCGATACGCGAAACCTCCAATTTCTCCCCCTTTCGCCCTAAAATACGCCCGCAATGCGTTTGAATTCATATTGATGGTCCATCGCATGCGGCGTACTCCACCAGTGGCGGGTGCCGATTGCTGGGCCTGCGAAGACCCTGCCGACACCAAGCAAGCTGGTGGGGATGATGGATGCGAGGGGCTGCTGGGTGGTCGTGCAGCACCTCGCGCTCGGCTGGCGGTTCGCATGCTGTCGCGTCCAGCGCCAGCTCCAGACGCGCCCTGACGACCTCCAGGCAGCGGCCCTTTGCGCAATCTTCTATGTTCCATCATCCATACAGGGCGTCATTTAACGGGAGACGCCCAGACCCGGCGCCGTTTCATGGTGAGGCCATATGCACAAGCGGGCCCTTGCACCATCAATTTTTGCCGAGGCACGGCGCTCACACCTCTTGGCAAGGTGCTGACTGACTGCGCGGACGTAGCGGTTTTGTCACATAACCGTCACGTCAACGGGCGATGGGGTCGTCACTTCCCTACGCCATTTTTATTTATTATTATTTTTGGGGTATCTGTATAGTTTTCTCATCTGGTTGGTTTCTATAAATATGTAATTATAAATTAAAATGAAAAGATAAATATACATAAATATCAATAAAATAAAATAAATACAAAAAATACACAAATAAATAAAGATCCAACCAGATGGAAGCCCTCGGCAGGGGAGACCAAACGGCCGAGGGTTAGGAGGAAAGGGAAAGAAACCGACGGACGATGCGGGCGGTATCGAGGACCACTGCCTTCTGCATTTGAGCCCGGAGCGGTCCGTCACGGAGTCCCAGTCGCCTCAGATGACCCGAGAGGCTGACTGGGATTAGCCCGTTTGCAGAGACGACTACAGGAATAATTTCGGTCGGCAGACCACCCCACATGTCGGTCACCTCGTGAGCCAGGTCCAGATATTTTGTTTGCTTATCTGTTTCGGCTTTCACGAGGTTCTCGTCATACGGAATGGTAATGTCGACCAAAAATATCCTTGACTGTGCCCGGTCCATCAGCACAATATCAGGCTTATTTGCAAGAATAGTCCTGTCTGTGATGATGGCCCGGTCCCAGTAGAGCCTGGCGCGGTCATTTTCGAGCACGGCTTCCGGCAAGTACTTGTAATACGGTAATTTCCGGTCCACGAGACCGTATTTCAGAGCGAGCGCCTGGTGTAGAATTCTGGCTACTAGGTTGTGCCTGTGCAAGTACTCAGAGTTAGAAAGCGCCGAACAACCGGAGATGACGCGTCTAAGTGACTCCCCGGGATGGCGACAAGCTCGACAGACGTCGACGGTGCCATCCTTTAGGATGTATCTCCGATAGTTGTTGGTCTTAATAACCTGATCCTGTATTGCACAGACAAAACCCTCGGTTTCTCCGAAGAGGTCACCGAAACGTAGCCAGTTGAGGGAGGCGACTGTATCTACGAAGGGCTCATGTAGAACCCTGTAGTACCTCCCGTGGAGCTCCTTCTCCTTCCATACGGTCTCCCGGTCGGAAATGCTAAGCACTGCTGGGTCCTGCCATTGCTCGTTGGCCAAGGATAGAGGGGTAAGCCCTTTATCACTAGAAATGACGTCATTATAGAATGGATCATCCGATCTCGCCAGGAAGTAATGACGGAGGCTGCACACTTCACGATTATGCATAGTGAGCGCGCTTAGAAAGCCACGCCCACCATGCTTTCGCGGCAAGTACAGCCTCATTACCGATGATCTCGGATGATGCATCCTATGGGACGTCATGGTAGTGCGGACTTTTCTATCCAGGGCGTTAAGTTCAGTCTGAGTCCACCTGAGTATGCCAAAGGTATACATAAGGACAGGCATGACCCAACCGTTATATGCGTGTGTCTTATTCACACCGGACAAAAGGCTATTAAGCACTTTGGTCAAGCGTGCATAAAACACGTCGCAAACTGACTGTTTCACACCAGCCTCATCGATACCGATGTTCTGTGACATACCCAGGTATCGGTATGTTTCAGCCTCGGAAAGGGTCCTTAAGTTGACGGGCATAGATAAATCTATGCCCTCAGAGTTAGCAACCCTTCCCCTCTCAACATGGAGGACCGCACACTTATCCGTCCCCAGCTCCATTCCAATGGAACTGCTAAACTCACAAGTGATTTTTAGCAATTCCATAAGATGGGAGCGACTGGAGGCGAATAACTTATTATTATTATTATTATTATTATTATGTTTATGGTGTGTCTAGGAAAAGACTATTGTAATAATTTTCAAGTAATATAACTCGAAGAACCGTTACCTAATGTGGAGAGAGGCTCTTCATAAACTAACCTCATAATCAAACGTATATACGAGGCACTAAAAATTTCGGGAATCAAGGAAGTGATACAACATTACTATTTAAAAATGTATTTATTGCTTTTCGAAGTATTCTCCGCGAAATTTTACACATTTTTCCATACGATGGAACCAATCATTGAAGCAACCATTCCATTCAGAAGTTGGGGTCTCCAAAATGGCCGTTTTGTAGGCGTCCACAGCCTCTTCAGGTGAAGAAAATCTCTGTCCACGCAATTTATTCTTTATTTTAGGGAAAGTATAGAAATAATTAGGACTTAGGTCGGGTCTGTACGGCGGATGGTCTAATAATTATATGTTTTCTTGCTCTAAAAACTCTTTTGTTCTGTGTGCGGTGTGAGAACTCGCATTGTCGTGATGGAGGATGAAGCGGCGGTTGCAGTTCTCTTTACGGAGTTCAGAAATGACCTGTGGCCAACAAATGCTAGCATACCATTCTGCATTAACCGTTCTTTGTCCCTCAATAGGAATAGTCGTAACATGGCCGGTTTTGGAGACAAACGTTGCCACCATTTTTTTTGCAACACTCCGTGAACGCATAATTTTGTTGGCTCTCATTTTCGAACACCCAAACTCGTGACTGGTTTTTTGTTTCGGGTTCGTACGCATATACGCAGGATTCGTCACCTGATACGATGTTGTGTACAGCATTTCAGGATCCTGCGAGGAATCCTTCGAGAGTTCTGACGCATCAAGTAACGTGAGCCGCTTTTTGCTCTTCACAGAGCGAATGCGGTATCCATCGGGAAAACAACTTTTTTTACATCTAATTGTTCATGCAAGATTATTTGTATTTAATTTATGCCAATGTTTAAAGTTGTCTGAATTTTGCGGTATGTTACATGTCGATCTTCCTCAATCAGCTTACACACAGCATCAACGTTTTCTTGGGTTACTGCAGTTTTTTGACAACCTTGACGGGGATCATCACTGAGCTTAACACGTCCACGTTGAAATTCAGCAAACCATCGATAAATTGTGGTGTTAGATGGGGCTTCATCACCAAATGCAGAAATCATCCGGTCAACACACTGTTTTTGTGTTAAACCACTTCGAAAGTCATAATAAATCATCGCTCTTGAATTTTCTCGAGTCAATTCCATTTTCTCAACGACTAAACAAGTTTGACAATACCTTGTAACAAGACCGAGAATCTTTTTTTTAAATAAATAAATGTTATTCGATTTTTAAAACCAAGGAGTTTTCAGGAACAGTGGAAATATTCCATTCTCGATACTTTTAGTGCTGCTAGGTAGTCTAGGAGTGACACTCTAGTAGATGGAGTAAATATCTAATCAAATGTGCAGGGGGTTGTAGGATGATGATAACAATGATATGATCATCTTTTGTATAAAAACAAGAATTTGAATATACAGGTATGTTAACTTGAATACTGAAATTTGAAATTTAATTTAAGACTGAAAATAAGGCACCGTGTATACTGCTGGACAAACGGAAAGTGTGTCGTTCCACCCAATTGCCTCGGCTGCATCACTCAAACATGTTACCGTCTCGTTGACAGGTTCCCTTTGAATTAATATTGGACGAAAGTTCATTGTCACTTTCAATACGTTGCTTTTATTTTACTAGGAATAGGATATATATACTAACTAGATGGCAACCTTCCTCTCCTAGAAGTTTTTATAAAAAGAAACGGGCACTCAGTCCATATGATGGTAAGTGGATGTTGTGGCTCATAAACATCTACATTTATCCTCAATTAAGGATCAAAATGCTGATTTGTTGTCACCCATAAGGACTGAGATAGAATGCCTAACGTTTCCAGTTGAAAAGGTCTCCAGTTCTCAATTCTGTGAAAGCGTGTATGTCGTGACTTTACTGTTGTGTCATTTCAGTATTAATAAAAAACATATTTCATTACAGCCAATCGGATGTCTGCATCTAACCACAGACGTCCCTGTTAGATTGCCTCATAGGGTGGATATTTGTATTATTTAGCAAAATCATTAAAAACTTACTGTTATCCACTCACCTATCAAGCGTGCTAAATATGGCAAATATAATAAAATGTTATATAATAAAAACTCGTGATGCCTACAGTACGAAGCTACAGCAGCACGCCGTGCAATGGAACTGAAGACGCTTAATACCACGTACGCGACGTGACTCTCAGTATATGGTCAAAATAGATAGTATATCACTTATATACAACGACTACACAGCTCGAATAGACGTCACATGCAAGGCGAACACTTTCTGTCATTACATTAGACAAATACGTCTTACTTGAGAAAACGATCGTGCGATCTACTTTAGTAGCGCCCACTTTCCTGACCTGTGAACATCTTGCTTGTGACTCGTGAATTTTCGACAAAATAAAATACAACAGACGCGCAACATGGTTCCCTGTACAATAAAATAGTGCGGAAATAGTAGCCAAATGTGTAATTTCAGAAAATGGCATAATTTTTTATAGATAAATATATTTAATTTCCAAATTCATTCATTAAAATTAAATCAGAGCTCAACCTATATTTATCTCAAGCAACTCGCGTTGATTTACTTGGACATCTTCGGATATTTTCGGACTATGCATCCCTTTCTTTTCAATGCAGTTTGTTTCTATACTTTGTTGCTATACTTTTCTTTAATTACCGGCACGTGTAACTAGCGCTGTACCAGTTAAACGATATTATTGGTACAAGTAAATATTATGCATGTTATCGTGAATGTTTTACAGACTTATACTATAAGCGACATAGGTGTGATTTAATAATTAAATCAAATTATTCAAAACTTCTTAAAAAAATCATAATAAAATTGATATAATTTTTAATAGACGACACTCCGCTCTCTTTACTGCCAAGACGCCATGTCAACACAAGTAAGAAACGGAAGTGAACTTGACAGTTTAAAAAACTGTTACTATTTTATTTTTAATAGTAATATATTATTATTTCAATATTGTAAAGAAAGCTTGTTTTATACAAAAATGTT